GTTATGGTGATAGTTATGGTGATGGTGATGGTTATGGTGATAGTTATGGTGATAGTTATGGTGGTGATGGTGATGTTATGGTGATGGTCATAGTCATGGTTATGGTGATGGTTATGGTTATGGTGATGGTTATGGTGATGGTTATGGTGATAGTTATGGTTATGGTGATAGTTATGGTGGTGATAGTTATGGTGATAGTTATGGTGGTGATAGTTATGGTGATAGTTATGGTGGTGATAGTTATGGTGATGTTATGGTCATAGTCATGGTTATGGTGATGGTTATGGTTATGGTGATGGTTATGGTGATGGTTATGGTGATAGTTATGGTTATGGTGATGGTTATGGTGATAGTTATGGTGATAGTGATGGTGATGGTGATGGTGATGGTGATGGTGAGACCCACAGATCCTGAGTCTTTCTGAGATTTGAACCCGTCTCCACTCAGCTCTGGTTTTACAACCTGTTGGAACTGGGAAGAACATTTTGGATCAGTTCTGTGGTCTGTGGTTGGTTGGCTCTGGTCCAGGAGAGATTCAGGAAAATTAGGGAGTTTGGGAATGTGTGTGTGTGCGTGTGTGTGTGTGTGTGTGTGTCTGCCTGGAGGAACTAATTCAACACAAGGAGAAAAAAACAGCCGTAAATACCTCAGATATCTTATCAGCTCCTGTGGCGTCAGGAGACACATTCAGACAGGAACGACCTTCACATGTGGAGGACATGCACACGTGTGTGTGTGTGTGTGTGTGTGTGTGAGAGGCGTCTGTATTCTCACCGTTGACTGTGTCTGCGTTGGCGCTCAGGTGTTGGCGTTTGCTGCTGCACATACAGTCCAGATGGTCCTCCAGACTCACCTGCACCTCCCGCAGTTTGGGCCTCTTACGAACGTACTCCACCTTCGCCACCTGAGGAAAAGGAGGAGTCACAGAATCAGACTCTGGTCGTTGGGGGGTCGGGGGGCGGAGGGGGAGTTACTGGGTCTGACCCCGGCTCCTCCACAGGTATCTTTAGAACGTTCCATTTTCCATCGTCTTCTAACTTAATAATAACGGTGAGTTTCCAAGCGTTGGTCAAAATGTTCTCAGACTGATCTGTGCCGTGGTGTTAAACGCGTCTAAGACGTGTCACGGCGGGTTTCTCTGGTGTCGAGAACGAAACCAGTTTCATCATTTTATCTCCGTCAGCGTCGAGTGTTTTAATTCGATCAGGTTTTTCAACCTTCAACAATGAACAACCTTCATGAAAAACTGTCCAACGTTTGCCACGTTTTGGGATTTCTTCTGTTTTTTTCTCAGAAGATTTGAATCCTGACACGAGGCAAAGACAAGACGAAGGTCGTGACCTTTTGTGAAAACATTTCCCAGAACACGGAGCTGATTATGTTTAAGCAGAGAAGAAACTTTGTTTTTTCAATTTTTCTCAGAACTTCAGGCGTTATCTTTGTCAAAAATGACCTCCCGCCCAAAGAAAAACAAACTTTTGGTTTAGTATAAATACTGTATAATACTACAGTACTCAAATATTTTCTTATTTTTAAATGACCAATTATAGCATTTAAATAATGAAAATTAAATTTGACTAAATGGCAAATTTACCAACATCTGGTCATGGGCCAGGTTTGGGGTGTTAGTGGGCCGGGAGTGGCCCCCAGGCCGGGGGTTTGAGACCACTGTCATATTTACTTCATCCGTACGGGGGTTTGAGACCACTGTCATATTTACTGCAGTTGTACATCAACAACGGTCTGTTTGATCACAAGTTTTATATTTTTCATCCCAACCGCGGTGTGTCCTGCCCACAGTCTGACCCAGTTGATCTGGGATTCAAACCATTTTCTCTCAGGCACCTGAGTATAGGCTTTAAACACGTACACACACACACACACACACACGCAGAGTCTGAATTAGAATAATTTTCCCAGACGAGACAAAATCGAGATGAAAATCTAGTTGCACAACATCTGGGCATCAAGTCTGAACAAAATCAGAGTCCAATTAAAAACAAGAGACAAAAAAAAAAAAAAAAACATCCTACAGTTCAGCTGCGTTTTCTGCCTCACCGTGTGAGTTTATAAACCAAACACCAGCTCCACAGTCAGAGGACGGAAAAATCACAGGTAAAATATTCGTCTTCAGTTCAGTTTCACAACTTATTTTTAACAATAAGATGTCAATTCTTTCCAGACGAGTCGGGGTCGACACTGCGGTGTTAATATCGAACTCTCCGTCCACTGAGTTCTCACTCCTCTTGTACTGTCAAAAATGCCAGGACTTGATGAAGACTTAATTAAATCTCCCGCTGGGAGTCCTGAAAGCCGACCCTTCTCTTTGACCTTGTCCGACCTCTGTACTTCCCTCGACCCTGATCTGAGTCTGAACCCCTGAACCAGCTTTAAGATCGGCCGCAAAACACGGGCACGTCCCCAGGACCGAGTGAAGAGATACCGTTACAGCCACAGGAACCACACAAGTCTGGGACCAGAACCACTTCCTGTCTCATTCTATCAAACTAACAACAAATCACAAAAGCCTCAGAAATCCGGTTCTGCTTCATCTGGACCAGGTTCTGGTTCCATCTAGAATAACAGGCTCTAAAGAAAACAATATAAATGAATCCAGAACGTGTGTCTGGAGTAAGAAGTTTCCCAGGTTGAACCAAACATTCAGTATTTTCTAACAGGAAGTCGACCGTGTCGAGGTGATGACATCATCCTCAGCAAACATCCTCCTTCACGGCTGTACTCTACCTTGACGGTGCGGTGGCGCTTGCGGGCCGCCTGGCATCTCATGTTGCTGGTGTTACAGCAGCCGGTGCAGCGCTTCACTTCAACACACGGGGGCCAGATGATAAAGTTGGCCGAGGTGGGGTCCACCTGGCTCCTGGGAATCTCATAGACGGTGGTCCGCACCTTACACACCGCCGGGACAGCTTCTTCAACCACTGGGGGGCGAGGGAGGGCGAGGAGGGGAGAGGGACAGGTGGGGGAGGAGAGAAGAGGGGAGAGGAGGAGGTTAAAATCCTGCTGCGACCTCGGTCTCTCTGGATAAATCTGTTCACACATTTCTGGTTTCTGCCGGTTTCGTGATCGCTGGTTTCACCAGGGTGAGTCACCGACCAGGTGAGAGGGGGTTCACGGGCCACGCGTGGCCCCCGGGTCGGGGGTTTGACCTAAACTGTGAGTGCGGTAGCGAAGGCCTCACCGGTGCTGCGTCTGCGCCTGGTGTGCGTGTACGCCCTCTTCAGGTCAGGGAAGCTGTGAGAGAAGTCCTTGTGGTCGGTGTGTTTGGTCTCCTCCATCACCTCGTTATCTGGACACAGACAAAACAGCGGCACGACGGCCGCACACACATGAGGACGACACTCACGTCAAGAGCATCAGAACAAATGTTTCCCACGTCCTCAAATCTCACGGTGAATGAAACGAAATTTAATGAAAGTTAAAATAAAAAACCAAATCATCGGCCGCAGTTAGTTCAAATCTAGGGATTTACGATATGAACTTTTAGCCGATATGTTGATATTTTCCACACAGATTTATGTAGCCGTTTAGCCCCCAAAACTGAGGTGAACGTCTCAGGACCCTACAGAAGATTCCAGAAATTTTGGAAAGACCCGGGTGTTGTGTTATCAGGTTTTAATTCTCGGAGAAAAAAAGAAAGATACAGATATGACAAAATTCTGATGATATCAGTCGACTGATAATATCAGACATCCCTAGTTTTATTTTATATAAAGGAAGAAAAACAGCCACTTCAGTCAGATTAAAGTAGTGAGAAAACGGACATTATGATTGGACGTCAGTGTCAGCTGATCACATGACAAATCCTGTAAAAACACAGTTAAACCCCTCAGGCTCAGACTCTGTCACTGATGATGTCATCGTCATAATAACTGTGTGATTGTAATTAACACCAAATCAGATTCAACGGTTAGACCAAGGACGGTGGATCAAACACTCGCCTGCTTCAGTAGGTTGTTGGTTCAAATCCCCGGTTCTAACCCACTCACGGTGACCTGTGTTTATCTGATACCATTTAAACCCAGTCTACAAAAAGAATGCGGTTACAAAGGCCCCCGTGAGGTCACGGTGAGGTCACGGTGAGGTCACGCAGGCTTCGGACGACGGGTTGTGTCGCGGAGCCAAAACCTTAATCACTTCAGAGGATCAAAGACACTGGAACCAATTCAATCTGTGGTTTTTTCTTCTTCTGTTTTTTGACCTTAAAACAGGAAGTCACCAGTCGACTGGTCACCTGGTCACGAGGTTGAGATCGACATCGACAACGACGACAACAACAACAACAACAACAGTTCACACTCAGATCATTAAAATAAAAACTCCGGTTGGTTCTTCTGGGTTGAAGACTGGTGACATCATCACCTTGGTACTGTTACTGACCCAGAGAGACTAGTTAGCAGCCGGTCACCGATGACATCAGCTGTGAGCCAAGTGACGCAAGGAGTCAACGACACCTTAGTCACGAGAAGTCACACACAGAGAGAGACAAAGGCCTGAGGCCAGTCTCCAGTCCTTGTTTTCCAGGTCAGGACTGTAGGTCTGACATAAAAGCTGACTCCTGTTGGACCGTTTTACAGTTCAAGTCATGAAACTTATTTCATTTATTCTACCTGAAAATAAAGTTGTTTAGTTGACAATTAAATGTGAGACAGAAATCCTGGGCCCTAGTGGACTGCCGAGGAACTGCAGTGCACATATACCATCTCCATTAGAGTAGAAACTGACCATCTTCATGTCACACGCACAAACCTAGTCCAAAAACACCTGGGAATCAAACCAGCAAACCGTCAGACGAGACCCCTCACCACTGTTATACACTGGGGGTTTTTTTTTTAACTTCCATCTTTATGTTCAGTTCATTTCATGTGCTTCTGGAGCACAACAAAGTTCACACACACACACTCTCTCCCTGAGTGTGTGTGTGTGTGTGTTCCTCTCACACCCCACCACGGAACATGAATTATACATAAGGACGCAGCGAGTCCCTGCACTCAAACCAATAATGGGCAGCATGACAACAGCATAATGAGGCGAGCCATTGACCCCGGCCGAGCCGAGGGAGCCGTCACTCTGGACATTAGCATCTCAATGATGCCAGGATTAACGGTGGCGCTGCTGAGAAGAGCGCACTTGAAAAAAAAAAAAAATTCACAGGCAACGGGGAAAAAGTTGGAGCAGAAAGGTGGAGTCTGACCCAGAGCTGGTGAACGCTGCCCCTGCTGTTCAATGTCACTCATTTCCTCACCGCGTCAATCTGCTCTGATTTATCGCCCGGTTAACGACTGTTAGCATGTGTGAAGATCTGTCGTAGGAACAAACATCGATTCGTCTGTGTGGTCGCAAACGTTAGCTGCCAAAAACTGCGCTCGGCTCGTTTAAAAACAACTGTGAGTTTCGGAAAATGATCGCGATTAATTATTGTAAAACATATCAACGACGACATGGTCCAAGATTTGAAGAATCTGAATTTCCAGAGATCGTGACTTTAAAGGACAGGTTGCGTAATCATCATCTGCATTTCAAAAAGCCAGACTTTTATGTCAACATTTAAAGAAATCCTGTAAGATTCAGGTCACATGACCACGAAGAGTCGTCGACAGACCGACGTCAAACCAAACTGCCGTCACTCGCCCTCATCCCTGACCCTCCAACAGGGGGCTGACCATGTGTCCAGTGTGTCCTGGATGACCGCCCCCTGATTGGCCCCCTGATTGGCCCCCTGATTGGCCCCCGTTCGCCCCCACCCATGACACCAAACACAGATCCATGAAAACGTCCATTGGAACGGACGCTCTTTACAAATCAACAGCTTCACCTCAGAGGGTGATTTAAACCGTGGCTCCAGAGTTCATGGAGGGTACAGAGAGCAGGACGGACCGCTGGTCGCCTAGCAACACCCGCTCAGGCATTTTGGTCACGAGATGAGAGCAGAGCATCGTCTCAGTGGGGACTGAGGCAGCAGCCAGGACGGCTCTTTGAGGTCTTAAAGTTCTACCTCAGACCACCACCGACGGACGTCTGTGATTGGTTCGATGCGACCACATGCATTACACTCGTGTTTGAAGAAGCAGTTCAGGCCTCAGGTGACGTGGTCAACCTCCGAAACGTGCTGCTCAACCCGTGGTTACAGGGTTTTTATGGTACACAGAGATTGTTTGAGATGTTTTTTTATTTGATGATGCAACTGCTGACACTCACTGATCTACGTCACAGAACGTTATTTTACTCTTTTTTTTTGCTCTATCTTAATCTGGCATCACGTAGTGAAGGAAGTCAGAGAAAATCCACACACACGTGGACGAACAATACAAACTCCAGGAGGAGGAAAAAGAGAACCAGCAGCTGTACAGCAGGCGCGGAAACCACAGCCTCCACGGCGTGGACCAATCAGTGGAGCCGCCGTTACAGAGGCCTATTTTTAAATAACAATTAAATGAAAAGCTACTGAGAAAAGACATCACCAGATATCAGGTAAAAAATGGTCAAATCAAAGCACACACACACCGGAAGCCACCGGTTTGTAGAATGACTTTTTTTTTACTCTACTGTACAGTTTTTGTAGGACACTGAATTCCAATAATGAAGCGATTTACCTACGGAGTCTATCTCGAGCAGCCGCTGGAGGTCGCTGATGCTGCGGATGTCGCTGCGGGAGAGCCGCTCCAGCAGCTCCCGGGGGAGAGGTGACTCCTGTGGGGGAGAGGACGAGTGTGGGAGACTCTGATTATGACACGGCCGTGTCTGGAGAACAACATGAACACGACGAGTAAAAAAAAAAAAAAAATCTCTCTTTAAGAACAAAGAACTTAATTTCACACTAATATAAAACTGCGCCAAAGAAAACGTGCGTAATTACGCAGACGACACTCCTGTATCATACGTTTCCTGTCCGGTTCGTGAGTCATCTCGTCAGTAAATTGTGAAGACTGTCGTTAACCATCGATGACTTCACGTCTTACCTCAGCAGCGGTGCGTAACAGGCAGAGACAGCCGGCGAGGAGGTGAAGGATCGCGGCTCTCATCTCCTCTTAGATCCGCTCCAAAGGCACCAGGACGAGGGTGTGTTCCACTGCAGGAGCCGGGCTGTCGCTCCCTGAGCCCGGGAGCCCACAGTCATCCCTGGTGAAAGCGGGACACCACCAGAGCCCCGGTAAGAGAGCAAATCAGGAGCTGGAATTTTTTTATTTATTTATTTATTTTTATTCTCAACTCCTGCGCAAACTGAGCCTGGACCAAAGTCTGGACCTCGGGCTGGAGCTGGTCCGGAGCTCAGAGTGGGTTCACGGCGGAACCTCGTGTTAGAACAGACAGAGCAGGTGTCCAGACGTCACTGCTCCTCCACAGTTCACACACCGGGACACGTCCACCCGCTCTGAACCGCAGCTCGGTGCCTCCTGCAGCATCCTGGAGCTTCATTGACTCGAACAGGTCATCGGTTAAAATCCGTGTTCCTGCAGCAGAGAAAGAAGAACAGAAGAGGAACTCCTGGGGGTGGGTGGTGGTGGGGGGGTGAGTGTGGGAGCAGCTCCCTGCAGTCCTGTGATCTCCGGAGTGAATGAATTCGGGACACATTCAGTCACAGGATATAACAGCCCTGCGCGTCCCCGTGGCGGCAAGAACGCGCCCTGCATTACGCTCTTAATTACTCCCAAATAACACGGTGCTCTGTGTCTGTTACAGCAGCCCTGAGGTTCATGCTCAAAATATCATTCCAAGTGCTCTGTAACATCAAGTAGTTCCTCACGTCTTGTGAGGAAATATATGGAAATAGAATGAGTTAAAACTGAATTTTTATGAATATTTTATGATTATTGATTGATTAAGAGATGAATTGAGATCAAAGTCTAATTCAATATATATTATTGTCTAGTTATTTCTTTGATTTTTTAATTTGGTTTGTTGATGAAAACACCTGGACCAGGTTCACACACAACGTTGTCAAAGTGGTCTCCTGGTGGTCAATCAGCCACACTGCACCCAGCCAAAGAACTCCAGGGGTCTGGACTACAGACGGGTTTGACCTTTGAAGTCAGGGTCAGTCAAAAAAAAACAAAAACTCAGATGATCTTAGAGCTGAGCTCAGTGGCGCCATCTGTTGGTGACCAAGATAAAAACATTTTTTGTGGAAGTACTACACACAAAGTACTGCAGTTTGGACAACATGCTGTGGCTCAGGTTTTACTGCTTTGATTTGAAAAGAATGACCGCTACCCTGGGTCAAAGGTCAGCGCAGTGTGAGATAAGAGCTTGTGTTGTAATCGGTACTGAACCCTGTGACACAAACGGCACTCGTCCACTTCCTGCTAGAGTGAATTTTTGAGGGACTGTAAATGTTCTTCCTCCCAGAGCTGCAGCTTCATAACGCAGCAGTGGAATCTGGAAATCCAGCCCCGAGCAATCGAACATGAACGAGCAGATTGACTCTGCCCTCGTCTGCCCCGCTCTCTCTCCAGCACAAACTGATCCAACATCCTTAATTTGACCAAACATGGAGGCTTGACATCGGACGGAGGTTCCTGTGAGGAGGATACACGCTGACAAAAAAAAACTTCTAGATGAAATGACCTCATCGTTGACTAAAACCTCAGCCTGTTTAGTTGAAGTCGACGCTGATATACTGGCAGGAATTGAAGAAAGACACTCACAAAGATCTTCTTCAACAGCTCTGATTTTTTTTCTCTAGTTTTTTATAGCCATCTGCTGCCCCCTAGCAGAAGAGTTTTTAATTGTTCTGTCTGTCACTCTTGAAAAACAAAGAAAAATTATTTGCAATAAATAATAATTTATAATAACAAAATAAATAATAATTAATAATAATAATAACAGTTTTTGGACCAATGAATTGAAGTTTGATAATTTGCCACTGCTCTGTGGTGTGTGTGTGTGTGTGTGTGTGTCTTCCTGTGGTGAACAAAACACACCTTCAATTAAAATCCATTCACGTTGATAATAAAACCCCAAACCTTCCTGACGTTCCGCGGTCGTTCTCCGTCTCCTCAGTTTTTCTTTCTTGTCTCATTAATGACCGTAATTACCCCCCGTTTGTTGACGGTGCTGAGTGTGTGTGTGTGTGTGTGTGTGTGTGATATTGGCAGATGAATGTTACCCTGTATGGTTTAATAAAAAGTGAAAAAAAAGAAGCGCAGGTCGTAAATTTCATCAGTTTTTCCAGCAGAACCAGGTCCCGGTCGCCAAGAGAAAATCCTGGTGATGACAGGATTTATAGGCCACCAATAAAACGTGATTATTGTATCACCATCACAGCCTTCAAACGCCGTCAGGATCATAATAACACATTTGATCCAAATCAAAGCAGCTGCCGTTTACGAGCCGTTTGATTCGCTGAAGAGAAATGAAAACACTTTTATGTCATTTTTACGATGGTTGTTTGAAAACTGGGAATATTAGGGAAAACCCAGTTCTCTGAAGGGACTAAAGCAGAACTTTGGTGAAAATGTTCAGGAGTTTCTAACAGTTAGTACCAGGGACATTTCTCCTGCAACTTAGGAATCTGCCGATACCGATCTCAATCCGATACTCTCCTCTTTTCTGATTTAACATACGTGAAATTAGGTATTGAATCGGCCGGGCTATAGTTTTTTTTTTTCATTTTTTTTTTTTCATCTTGGAATCTTGGAATTCTGACCAATATCGGACCGATACCGATCCTGCGAATCGGATCAAGTCATCTCTATTCAACACAAAGTCAGTGCAGGTTCTTGAAAAAATGAAAATTCTTGTTGCAGTGATTTAACACAAACTCAGCAGAACTGACCCTGACCTTTGAACTCATGTTATTATTATGGACCTATAATGTGTATGTGCCTGACTGACCGGCCTGCGGTCCAGATCTGACCACACCAGTGTGTTAGAAACAACAACCTTGTCCTCGGCAGGTTCTTCAAACCACAGCAAGTAAAATCCAAACGTGGGATTTATCTCGATTAATCGTGATTCATAATTCATTGCGATTAATCCTCAGCTACCACATGATTATTCTGGTCTAAACCCAGTTGAAACACGTTCCAGATTTGATCTACAACCTTCCAGAAAGTGTCTACCACAACGACAGACTTAAAAACCTGAAACCACCAGAGGCTCGGGGAGAAACACCAGGAGCAGAGGAATATATGAAGTGAGAAAAGGACAAATACGCAGTAAAAGTTAACGCGGCGAGGATAAAAACTTTACGAGCAGGGCGGGGGTTGAGGGTTCTCCCTAAATTACTTCACAAATCCAAACCCTTTGTACACATTTTCACCGACTCCTGTGTTCCGTCCAGTCAGGATTGGTTATTAAATCATTCCTCTTTGATATAAACAGATTTGGTCCACCTCTGGACGCCGTCCAAATCCTACTGTGCGGCAGGAAACAGGAATGTGCGGTCATCGGCCAAGTGCAGACTTGGACCTGGATTACCATGTGAAATATGCCTGTGTTTACCTACATTAGCGCGCCGTCCACCGCCACCACTAGTGGGCCCACCGCGGCTGTTCACACACGGCTCAGAGACAAGGCTTTGAACCCTCTCTGTTAGAACGACAAAAAAAACACACACAAAAAAAACACAGAGAACGTCTGAGCTTCAAGGTTTTAAAGACGGAGACTTGGCTGCAATCAGGTGGACGTGAAGTGAACAGCAGGGGGCCCTCTAATCTGATTCTTGAAAGGCATCGTAGAGTGCCCCGCACGCGCACACACCCACACATATAAATATGTTTATATACATACAGTATAATAAAAAAAATATAGATATATATTTCATATTCCAAGCTTGTTGTTTTTCGGGAAGGTATAGCGCACATGCACAAAAATATATTTATATATGTGCGTGTATATATATTATATGTACACGCACATACATAAATATATTTTTACCCGTTGTTATTTATCTCTATATATTTTTAAATATATATATGTAAATATATACAAATATATACCCAAATATATATATACATATATATATTAGTGAGAGTATACACACAAACAAACACATATATATTTGTGTATATATAATATATAAATATATTAAAAAATATAAACATAAATATATAGATATATAATATATATATTTAGTTTTACACATATATGCAGACATATATACATATATTCCAATAATTTGAAGAGTTGTGATTCTTTACAGAGTATAAAATTAATGTAGTGTAAATACATGTCCATCAAATATACAGTAGAAGTTACTGAGGAGAAATACATTTCCATAGATTGCAGATGTTTTTTTTAATGTTAAGTCTAAACAAAAAACGTCCATATATGGAGAAAAAATACAAACAGAAAATGTAGTTGAATTTAGTTCTTCTTTTTTTCTACGTGAGAGGAAAAGTTTGAAACATGTTGTGATGTAATAAAATATATTTTATACACATGAGGTCGATCACCAAGATTGATTCAAGGCCGTCCCAAAAATCCTCTCTGATTAACGTTTGTTCCACCAACGACAGAAGGTCACAGGCAGCTTTACACGGAGGGCGGTCGCTGCTAATGATCCCAGAGTTCGTTTCGTCACGTTCTTTAATGGAACCAGCAGCGTGTGTGGGCGCCGTCCACACGCCGAGCGTCGACGCTTTACAAGACCAAGAAGAAAGAGAAGAATCTGAATCAACGTTTAATTATTTAAACCACGTTCTTTTGACTCAACGCGTAACAAGTCGTAAAGAGACTAAAATTAGAAACTACTTTCTCACTCCTCACATCCAGAAAAGTACGAATTCCCATTCCCTTAAATGGCATTGAACGCGTCACAGTTTTTTTTTTTTTTTGTGGTGCAGTAAAATGTCACCGACGTCAACGTTGGGTTGATGGAGAGATTAAAGAAAAGAAATCAGGTGATTGGTTACCTGCTGGTTATATTAACACGAAGGGCAACCCTCGTGACCTCTTGACCTCTTGTTAAAGTCATCCACTGCACCGACCTCTGGTGACCGTGTGAAACAGACGAACGTCCACAATGAGGAGGACGGAACTTTGTTTACATTCTTCTCACAAACACTGAGACAAAACATTCTGGAAGATTCTGCTGGAGGACTCGTCGTACGTGGAACCAGCTGTCAGACCTGTGTCACGTCCAAGGAGACGCAACCGCAACAAGACCACGGAATTCAAAGCTCTGTTTGTTTAGATAAACAAACAAGTTATATATTTATATAATTTGGAAAAGTTTGATGGGCCGGATTAGAAAGCTGAACGATAAATAATTTGGAAAAGTTTGGCGGGCCGGATTAGAAAACTGAGCGGGCCAAATCAGGGCCCCAAGCCTTAGTTTGCCCATACCTGGTTTAGACCAAGTATCCACGACACAGGGATTGGTTTGTTTTTTTTTTCTCTCTTTCTCTGTTGTCTGACTAACACAAAGGTTTTTTTCTTTAACTTTTCAGCTTCATTTACGCCAGACCAAGTATCCACGACACAGGGATTGTTTGGTTTGTTTCTCTCTCTCTGTTGTCTGACTGTTGTCTGTTGTCTTACAAAAACTTTTCCAGGGATCAAATCAAATCAAAGGTGAAGAACGTAACTGAAGACCAGGTCGTCAGACGGATAATAAGAGCAATGAGGCTGTGATATTTGTCAGCTGAGTGAATGGAATCGACTGTGTAGCGTTTCTCTTCTCTGGAAACAATATTTTCTAATGTGGTTTGATTGGAATAAACGGAAGAGACGATGGAGGAGGAGACAGAGGTCGGAGCCGTGACCTTTGGATGTTTGAACGTTTTCTATCGTTTGTTGAACCTCCTCAGACTGACGTTCCAGTTCCACTGCTAACCTGATGGAGAATATTGATTACAGAATATTGATGACGATATCGTGAACCGAATGATCGCGATGTTCTTTCCGTCGTACTATTGATTAATCACTGTCTGTAGAAACTGGTTTCTTGCTGCCTGTGATTCTGCAGGAAGAATGAACTCCTCCTCTGATTGGACGCGTGTGGGCGAACAACACTGACAACAGCCCGTCCAGCTGACAGCTGTTAGGAAACAGTGTGAAAACCGACGCCGTCGGATGGTTTGACCAACGGAAGAGTTGATTCAAATGATGGTTCACGGATTTTAATCTCCTCCGTCTTTGGAGGCGGACAGGGTTTTCCACCGATGACTCATCAGCCATGAGTCATCACACACACACACACACACACACTGTACGGACTGGACACTAAGAAAGGTCAGCAGGGGTCACGACCTTTGTTAAACTGAGAAATACGAAGAGCTACGTCTGTGATACACACTCCAAGAACGTAATAATAATAATAATAAAAACAATCGATGCTGCTCCGTCAGGTTCTGACACAACCAGTAGGAGGCGCTCTTCGTACCATTGGGTTAGGGCACCCAGGTGGACCGGCCTTGGTGTCGGGGTTCAGGTCAGTGTGGGGTCTCACCCACTGCTCCACAGAACATCCAACAACCTGAGCTCTGTAGCGCCCTCTTGTTATCAAACTTAACAACCGCGGCTCCCATCACTCCTCCACGTTAACTCTAATGAAGGCAGCGCTGCCTTCACTGTCCTAGGAGGAAAGAACCAGAGTAAAATCCACTTTATGTTGCTGTTGAAGCAGGGATGTCAAACACGTGGCCCGTGGACCAAAACTGGCCCGCTTGGGGTTTCAAACCGGCCCGCTTGATGAAATATGAAAATAAAAAAACGACATGTTCATGTTGAAGAAATGTTTTGTGAAATGATATTTTTGATGATAATTCATTAATTATTATAATCACATATAATTAAGATTGATCAAACAGAAGTGAGTGAAGAAATCCCCCTCTCCCCGGGGGAGGATTCCTCCCTCATTGTCACAGTGTTGGGAGTGAAGGACGGTGAAGGGGTGTGTGTGGAGGGTGTGTGTGTGGAGGGTGTGTGTGTGTGTGTGTGTGTGTGTGTGCTGGTGTTGGCTGGAGAACAATGCTACACTGTGTGATGAGGGGCAACAAACGGAAGCAACAGATAGTGTTTGCCCTGTGGGCTCTGTGTCAGTGGTAACATCTCACACACACACACACACACACACACGCGCGCGCAGTGACATCATGGCAGCGTTCTCAAACCATGAGCAGCTTCAGATGAAGGGAAAACGTGGCTCGAGGCCCAAACCTGGACGCCGTCTCCGGTTGAATAAAAATAAAAACTACAATAATTGCCCACAGGGTAAAAAGAGTGGTTGGTGCCACTGCCTTACAGCAGGAAGGTCAACAGTTCAATACCCATTGGTACTTGTTGGAGGTCGCCCCCTTGTGGGGAAAAAATAGGTTGTCTCCTCCAAAAGTTTAAAACATGCAGGGTTTAGATTAATTAAACATGTTAAACTGGTGGTTCCCAACATGGGGGGCAGGCCCTTCTAACGGCACAGAAAGAGAAGAACAGGCACTGATTTGTCATTCCATGACCTTCGTGCTGTGAGGAATGAACATTAAAGTATAAATAAATATAAAACAGATGATTTGGTGACTTTTTTTAAATGGAGTAAAATTATTTGAAACAGTGAAAACATTTACAATTACAAAGTACTTTGAATTACTATCACTTCAACTGGTTATACTGACAAACAAGGAGAAAATATCTGAGCAGATTTTCTTCTTCTTCTTTTTTTTTTAAGCAGCGTTTTTAAGACGCTCCTGTTGCAGCTCGTCATTGGCCTCATTATTAATTTCTTGGAAATGTCTCTGTATTTTTGACAGCACCTTTGAAGTCTGTTGGCTGAACTGGAAATATGTAAAAACAAGTCCACAAACAAGGAATCACAGGGAACGTTCCCAAAAACAGGAAGCACAGAGTTTGGAGTTTGGATGTTCAGAGTTATTAGAGTGTTGACTGTTTTAGTACAACATGAAGAAAGACCTGACATCGAAACATCATCAACGATACCAGCAGGGGCCAGTAGTGACCAGCAGTAACCCGCAGTGGCCAGCAGTGGCCAGTAGGGACCAGCAGTGGCCAGCAGTGAGACAGAACAGTAACATTTCTCCACTCAGTCATGGACAGGTTTTAATATCCTCACCTGTCAAACTGGAGCTTCTGGTTGGATCAGGAACTGCATCTGGAGTAAATTAAAGTCAAAGTGATTTTTTGAAAAAAAACAAAAACAACAACTAGAACTCTTCAGACCGGTGGTTTTTACCTGTTGATCCTCTGAAGCCGTTTGGTTTCGTCTGGTGATTCACAACAGGACGATGTCCATATTCTCCAAAGTCCTTCAAGGATTCAAGGATTCAAGGAAGGTTCTGATCTGATACATAAGGTGGTCCAACATAGTGACTGAGGCTCCAGTAACGGACCATCACGTCTGACTCAAACCAGTACACAGTCCGACAGAGTGACACAGGTGAGCAGGTGAGTCACCTGATTGACTGGGAGGAGCAATCCAGACCAGGGAATATCAGGATCAGATTAGGGAGGATTAGGAACCAATCACCTGCCTCAGATCAGCAATACGCTTTCTTATAAAGGCAGTTGAATCAGACTTCAAAATATTTATTCAATTAACATGTCAATTTAAAAAACTTGCTTTATTTAGACGGTATTGTTGTTTTTGGTTCTTATCCCGTGCACCCCCTAGTGGCAGATCACACACCTGCACCACATACAGAAACGCGCTCTTCTGCTCCGGCTGAGGATGTTCAAAAACAGTTAGCAGAGGATGGTTTCGATCCATCGACCTCTGGGTTATGGGCCCAGCACGCTTCCGCTGCGCCACTCTGCTGCGGTGGTCAAATCAGGAACAACTTAATCTATACGTGTTTTTCTTAGATTCTTACATTTTTCAAACCGTTATCAAACCTCCTTCCCTCCCAGTGTTGTACGGCAGGTACTGTGTGCGGGGACTGGAACGAATCCCGCTCATGTCTCCGACAAGCACAGACATTAACAGAGATGAAAAGGCTGAGAGTGAGAGTTGATGAGTGAACAGTCAACACCTTTGATGCCACTGGTTTATTAATAAAGTGGGAGGATCACTGATATCCATCTGGCCCAGAACCGGAACCAGAGCCAAACTGCACCGACAAGCACAGACATTAACAGAGATGTCGGCTGTCATTTTGAAGTGTTTTTTTTTTTTTTTGGCAAACCCTGAGCATACCTAACTCCGTTAATGGCTTTACTTTTACGGCATAGTTATTGCTCTTGCAGCAGTTGACCAGCAGGTGGAGGCAGTAGTTTCGTTGTGTAACAGTTGCAGCTACAAGAGCATTTCAAAAAGACTTTCTTTGTTTCCAAGAAATGTGTCTTTGGATGAAATACCTGGATATCAGACTCTGCTCTGTTATCACATCATTTCTCACTGTATTTATATTTATTGTTTTATTTATTTCTCTGTTTTTATTTCATTCTTGTTTTATTTATATCAGGGAGTGTTTTGGCAGGAATCTGTCAACATGTCAACGTAATTTACATAAAACGCGTCATCAGTGTGGATAAATAAATACATCTAAATATACACAGACATGAGACAGAGTACTGCAGTACGTCATCGTCTGACTTTGTTTTTCTTCCTTTTTTTCCTGTCTATTATTGTCAGATTAGTCACAGTCGATGAGATGAAGTCACCTTCATTTCAAAAGAAAGAAAAGAAGAAGGAAGTGCATTAACAGTACTATTCTGCAACTTCTCTCCTGAGGACTGGACTGGTTTTTATTTGTCGCTGCCATAAATACCTAGAGAAACCATTTCCTACTGAGTTTGTCAGAAGACGGCGGCCGTGATGTTGTCGACCAAATCTGACTGTGTCTTTGTGGGATTTATTCTCTACGTGTCAGGTACGAATGACTTTTCTTATAATGCTAATGTTGGTGAAGCCTAGAGTTTATTATTTATTCATAGATTTACAAAAAAAATTAGGGTTTTTTATGATGCAGTCGGTCGTCTTCAACAAATGGGATCAAGTTTGAAGGAAACATTGAAAACTATACATCAATAAATGAGTCGATTGTTTGTTTCAGGGATTGAAACGTCGACGGGATATTTGGATTGTAGACAGGGAGTTTATACGTCGCCCTCTGCAGGTGATTCAACTTCTTGCTTGGAGAATGACCTGCAGGTCATGGTGGTTCCCTTCCATCAGACGGTAACACTGATGTGCAGCACCGGCTGCTCTCCGACTCAACATTCTAGAGGCTACGTCTGGTACAGGAACGGAGAGGTTCTCTACAGGGACCGGTCACCGTGGTACCGACAGCTGGTCAGCGGTGACAGAGCAGTGAAATATTCCTGTGCTATCAAAGGCTGTACATTCAGAGCCCCCGAGGTCTCAGTGGGTGAGGAAGACTCCGGGTGTCGCACCTTCATTGACTATCACTGAGGTGAAAACCGTCAAATCTGTTTGTTTTTTTTTTCAGATTCTGTGAATTCAACCTGCTTCACCGTGACTTACCAGACTTTTTTTTGTTTTTTTTTTTTCAGATTCTGTCAATTCAACCTGCTTCACTGTGACTTACCAGAACGGACAGATGTGTTCTGGAGAAAAAGGAAAGTCGGAGCCATGCACCATCACATATCCCAGAGGTAAGTTGGTCTTCCAGAAGGAAAAAAATCCCCACTGGATTATCACCTTTTCCGGATTATAAATCTCTCCCGAGGAGATGTTGCACCAGCCAAAGGATGAAAAAAACTGCGACAGGACAGAGTGCCTCTAGTGGCTGTCAGTGTGAAAACAACGAACATGTACATTTTCACTGGTCCAGGAGTAGCAGATACTGGTACACAAGCCTAGAGTGCCCTCTAGTGGCTGTCAGTGTGAAAATAACAAACATATGAAAATATATAGAGTGGAACCTCGACATAGTATTTTGATTGCCGCCATTATCTCATAATTAAAAGCACATTTTATTATATCACAGGAATTCTTATATACTATGATTTGTTTTGTGTGTGTGTGTATGTCTCTGTAGCAAGAAAAAACTTTTTTGTTATTGCGATACGAGCTGGGTCCTGGAACGGATTATGCTCTTATCTCGAGGTTCCACTGTATTTTAATGTATAAGTCGCAGACCTAGCCAAGGGATAAAAAAAAAAAAGTGCGACTTATAGTCCAGAAAATATGGTATGTTTTATTCTTGTCTCAGGTCAAATGGATTTATGAAAAAGGACAGATCACAGACAGAGACTTGATGGAAGTCGAATAAGTGAAATATTCTAATAACTTTATAACTATAAAATAAAAAGTATGTTGCAGGTTTATATTCACTGATAAAAACTTGTTCCAACAGAGGTCCACGTTGGCCACACACTTGTTAACCAAGACCATGTGTCACTGGCCTGTGACAGCAGCTGTGCTCAGACTGACCATCTGTGGTACAAGAACAGAAGAACTAAGGAAAAGATCTTGTCCCTGATTCCCCTCAGCTCCACTGATGTTTACTCCTGTGCTGTACGAGGCCACGAAGAACTGTTCTCTGATGAAGTCTGTGAGTATCAACAAAGCCAACCAAGACTGAGGATGTTGGTAATATGTCAGTCCTGTTAATCACTCTGCTGTATATATGGAATATATATGTGTATATATATGTGTGTGTGTATATATGTATATACTGTATTTGTACATTATATACATATGTGGGTATATACGTATGTATGTAATGTATTTGTACAACATATATATATATGGGTATGTATGCAATGTATGTGTACAATATATACATATATGGTATATATGTAAGTATTGTAGTTGTACAATATATACATATATGGGTATATATGTATGTAATGTATTTGTACAACATATATATATATGGGTATGTATGTAATGTATGTGTACAATATATACATATATATGTATATTTGTATGTAATGTGTTTGTACAATATATACATATATGTGCATGTATGTATATAATGTATTTGTACAATATATACATATATGGGTATGTATGTAATGTATTTGTACAATATATACATATATGG